TGACTGAACCAGCGAGAGCACATTCCAGACTAGTTTTTCCTCAAGAGTGCTCTTTTACATTGGTCTTTGTTGTGTGTGTGTGTGTGTGTGTGTGTGTGTGTGTGTGTGTGTGTGTACCAATTCAACCATTCCTCCGGGTACAACTCAGTGACATTGAAGGCCACCTGTCCTGCTCTGAGCTATTCCTCCCCTGCCGCCGCCGCCATGAGCTCACTGGCCCCCAAGGTTCCCATCTAACCTTTCCAGTTGCTGCTGTCCATTTGATCCCAGGCGATCATTCTTCAAAGAGCCCAATTCTCAGGGCAGACATTCCTGACTCGTTAAGCCTATCACTGGGTTGAAAGGAGACTTCTCGGGATGTTTCTAGTTTGAGGTTAAAAGATTATTTCAGGGTAATCGTTTGGGGTTTTATTGAGCTTCCATGACTCCAGGAAGTCTGAAATCCACGAGAAGTTGAAGTTCGGTTCTGTATCTCTCCCACCCCCAACCTTTAATGAGAACTCTTTTAATAGAATCGTTGATCAAAATGTACAGTGGGACTCTCAGAAGTTGGTTGGAAATGCCGTGTTCTTCTCATTCCATTTCCCCAGGAACTTTCAGACGCCCCCTCGCATCCCCCGGGAACTGTGATGACTGGCTGGAGGTGGCACTTTTCCTCTCTCTTTTGTTCCCTCACCAAGGAGGGCTGGTGGCATTGCAGGTTACACTGCGGCTGCTGCCCTCAAGGGCGTAACCCACTACCCCACCTGGGCTCCTTTCGTGAGGGAAACGTGGTTGCCACTTAGCAAAATCATATGAATGTGCCATTTACCGCGGCAGACGGGTGTTGAATGAAAAAGCAGGGAAGTAGCTGACCCTGGGGGTGGCTGTCAGAAACCTCTTCCCTAAGGAAGTGACATTAAGATGAGTCTGGGAAGATGAGGGGTATCCCACCGACTGGGGTCGAGAGAACAGCATGTGCAGAGGACATGGGTGCCCAGAGGCTGTAGGGGAAGTGACACCCACCAGGCCGGAGATGTGGGCAGGAGCAAAGCCATTCAGGACTTCATCTGAAAGCTACTGGGGAGCCACGGGAGGATGGGGAGCAGAGTCAGACTTCTGAGTTGGGACACTTCGAGGGGTGACATCCCAAGGATGGTGCACGTCAGTCAGGCAAACAGTGGGACCAGAGACTCTGGTGGTGACAGAGGAAATGAGAAGGCAGGGCATGGGCTCTACACTTGTTGGTGTGGGGACCCTAACCTACAAGTTCTCAGTCCCCACCTCCACCCTCGCCCAGAGGCACCTCAGAAGAAAGGCCTGGTGATGTGCTTCTCAAAGATCAGGCACTGAAAACCCTGCTGGCCTCCCCCCACAAGACTGAGGCCCTCAGGCACCCTTCAGGCCTGGAAGGGAACACCCCTCAGCTCTCCTTTCGACCAAGAAGGGCAGGCCTGCAAGGTGAACGAGAACCTGCAGCAGGCACTCACGCATCAGAAGAACCCACCCGAGGAGATCCCAGAGCAGCACCCCATGTGCCAGGAGGAAGCTCAGCAAGCGGGCAGGCAGGAGGAGGAAAGAAGCCATGGGGAAAACAGACCCAGGAGGTGGGAGGAGCGTTGTTAGGATCAACGTCAGGAAACAAGAGGCATGTGAATTGCTGACTGGAAAACCAGTTCGCTCCTGGAGCTCCCACTGGAATCACTAGAAAAGGTTTGGTTTGGTTTAGATTTTTAAACCGCTGGGTCATAGCAGTTACGCACTGGGCAGACAACCGCAAGGCCAGCGGTTCGAAACCACTATCCCATCGTTGGGAGAAAAACGAGCTGTCTGCACCGGTAAAGAATTACAGTTTGAGCAACCCAGAGGGGCAGCTCTACGCTGTCCAACAGGTCCTCTAGGAGTTGGGGCTTTGACGCGATGGCAGCGAGTCTGGGGTTTTTTTAGGGGTAAGTGCCGTTCCTCTCTGATACCTGTGGGGCGACCATGAGTGAGAGAGAGAGAGAGAGAGAGAGAGAGAGAGAGAGGTTGGGTCTATGGCAACACTAATAACCATCCAACCTCTTTCCCCACCCCCAGGCCCTCTTAGCCAAGGCGCTTTATGACAACCTCCCTGACTGCTCCGACGAGCTGGCCTTCTGCAGGGGAGACATCTTGACCATTCTGGAGCAACACGTGCCAGAGAGCGAGGGCTGGTGGAAGTGTGTGCTCCGCGGCAGGCAGGGCCTGGCCCCCGCCAACCGCCTGCAAATGCTGACCAAGGCGCCCACAGCCAGGCCCTGGCCCCCTCACCCGGGTGGCCTGGAGGTGGCCAGCCCCGAGGAAGCCTACCAGGTGCCCTCCCTGCTCGCCCCTCCGCCTCCAGGTCCAGTCTACGAGCACATGCGGAGCTGGGTGGAGACGCGCCCCCCACCCAGTGCCCAGCTGTACGAGATCCCGGACCCACCTGCCAGCGCCAGGATCATCTGTGAGAAAGCACAAAGCTTTCAGAAGCAGGTAAGCATCTTTCCAGAGGAGGCAGAGGGCCAAGGGCGAGGGGAGCTCCCTGGGGTCATCCAGGAGGACCAGGCGCAGATCCCATCTGAGCTCGGTGTGGTTGGGCCAGCCCAGGCATGCGCCTGCACTGCCTGATGGGGGCAGGGAGTCCAGGGTCCCCCACTCCTGTGGTCCCTGGTGCCCTCGGCTCTCCCATGAGCCCCTGCTTTCCAAGGCCCACTACCACACTTCTTGGGGAGCTGAACGTCATTGGGGGAGTGCCGCTGTCGCCGTGGGTGCTGGCCAGTTGATTCAGGTCATGGGACAGAAGAGGACTGTCCACAGAGTTACCCTGGCTGTCACCTGTACGGGAGCATTTGGCCAGAGCTCTTCTCCTGGGAAGCCATTGGGTGGGTTCGAACCACCAACCTTTCAGCCTCCAAAAACACTCACTGCCATCAAGTCAACGCTGACTGACAGCGACTCCACAGGACAGGGTAGAAGTGCCCCTCGAGTCGATTCTGACTCACATGAACACACAGGGCAGACTAGAACTGCCCCCTCAGGGGGCCATCTTTACCGTGGGAGCCTGGTGGCACCATGGTTAAAGCACCAGATTCAAACCCACCAACCACTGCAGGAGAAGACGTGGCAGTGAGCTTCCGTAAAGATTTACAGCCTCATAAGCCCTATGGGGGAAGCTCTCCTCTGTTCTCTAAGGCCACTGTGATTTAGTTTGAATCAACTCAACAGCAACAGGTAACAAACGCCACAGTCTGTCTCTATCCAACCAGTAGACCTGGTCTCTGGGGACTTGAAGTTCTGTGCCACATGTTTCTCCAGTGGACCTTAGGACCTTCCAGTGTGGCCTCTCTTAGAGCAGTTGATAGTGGTAGCCGGGCACCATCTAGCCCTTCCAGTCTCAGGGTTGTGGAAACTGATATTTCCATGATCCACGAGTCCATTGGACTAATTGTTTCCATACCTCTTTTGATTTTTATCACTTTTTTTTCCCTTTCGGGTGGTTAGAGACCCGATGGTTGCCCCTTAGATGGCTACTCACGAATATTTAAGACCCTAGTCACTACTCACTAAATTAGGATGCAGAACATTGCCTTGGAGGATGACCTTATATCAATTGACCTTGGTTTCCCAAGGTCTTGATTCCCTAGACCCAGTGAATCGGTCTCTCGAGGTGTTTGGTTATGAAGTACTCCTAACTTTCCTTCCTGTATGCCCCACCACCGTCATGGTTAGATTTGCAGCAAAGGTAAAGGCACATATAGATGCACAAAGGTAAATGTACACATAGCCTCTGTCACCTCTGCATGTATCTGTAGGTGTCTTCCCCTCTCCCTCCCACACCTGTTCACCCTGCACGTCTATCTAAGCATCTACTCAGATGCTCTATTGTAGCAAAACTTTTTATTGTACCCACCCCCAATGGCTAAGGCCATGTGTCAACTTGGCTAAATGACAATGATGGAGTAACTAACCTTCATTTTGTGACCTGCTGCATGTCAGTTGCGAGGGGCGTTTCCCTCGAGGCGTAGCCTGCACCCAGTACGTACGCATGGGCCGCCGAAGCTCGTGCTCTCTGGATCTTGCCCCCAACTTGTCACCCTCTGACCTCCGGTCCTTGGCACATGAGCCAGCATCCTGTCATCTGATTGAGTGATTTTGGATTCTTCAAACCCTGCAGTCACGTGAATCTGGAGAAACCTCCAGCCTGACACACAAACTCTCTCTCTCTCCCTCCTCTCTTTTTCTCACTGGTTTTGCTCCACTCTGTAACACAGCCGGAGCACTCAAGTGGGCACCTATGTGTCTGGTTAAGTAATGCCTTGCCCTTATGGCCTTATCTGTGATAGAGAAAAAGTAGAGATGCCTAAATGTTCGTGAATGGAGGGAATCGTTAGGTAAATTATGTTGTACCCCCACCAGGAGCTACTGTGAGGTGAATCTTCGAGATCGTTACAAGGAAGAACAACAAAACCAAACTCAAATTCACTGTCGTGGAGTCAATGCGGACCCACAGCAGCCCTCTAGGGTAACACTGCTCTGTGGCTTCTGAGCCTGTGACTCTTTACAGGAGTAGAAAGTCTCATCTTTCCCCCCGAGGAGCAACTGGTGGTTTTGAACTTCTGACCTTGGGGTTAGCAGCCCAACTTGTGACCATGACACTACCAGGGCTCAAGAGCCTTTCAAATGAAACCCACCAGCACAACACAACAAAGATTTGTGACTGTGTGTGTGTGTGTGTGTGTACACATAGAGAAAGATCAAGAAGCATGCACGGCCAGCCCCGACAGTGGTTCCCTTTGGGAAGTGTCACTGGTCAAGAAGAAAGAAAGGACGAGCAGGCAGGGGCCTTTGTGTTTCAGCCCTGCCCCCACCTCAGCCTGGGCCCAGCATGGGGTATGCAATAACTATGTGATTGTAGGCTCTATTTATTGGAGTGTCATGTCCAACACCTATTACATCTGTACTTTCAAATCTGTCTGCTGAAGCGAGAGTGGGAGAGAGCGAGAGAGAGAGGACCGAAGTCACTCAGCAGACGCAGCTGGAAACCATTTTCGGAGGGGATTCAAAGGAGAAAGGCCTTGAGGAGGTTCAAGAATTCAGACCACCAGGAGAGGAGGGGGAGGTGGGGGAGGATCACAATGATGGACACATAGCCAACTCCCCACCCCCCAAACAGCAGAAACCACGGGTGTAAGACATGAACCTAATGACAAATTATAATTTATCAAGGGGCCACGTGGGGCAGAGGAGGGCAAAACATGAACTGATACCATGGACTCAAAAGAAAGTGAATGTTTAGAAAATGACGATGCCAACGTATGTACAAATATGCTTGATACCATTGAGGTATGGATGGTCATAAGAGCCGTAAAAGCGCCCAGTAAACCGGTCTTTAAAAAAAAAAGAATTTGGACCAGACTTCCATGGTCTTCCATCACTGCTAAGCATCTCCTGCCATCAGGCCCTTTGAATTCTGCTAAAATGACATGTCCCACCTGGTCCCAGTGCTGGGCAGAGGTCCAGGCAAGCTCTGTGTCCAGAGAAAGCCCCACCCTCCCACCTACCCATGGAGCTGCTGTGGGGCCTGGGAAGCCGGGAATGGTGTCTTGCCCTTAGGCTCCCTCCGCACCGACTTCCCAAGTTTCCTTCACCCAGGAAGGGGTGGATTCCTGAAACAATACTGGCTACTCCACATGTCCTAACTCCCGGCCCTGCAAGTCACTGGGCCAGACAGCTGTTTGCCCAGCAGCTGCCCCAGGAAGGCGTCCAGTGCTCTGGTTCCAAGGCAGCCCACCGCCTCTTTCGCAGGCATCCCCTGGAGGCGGGCAGCGGGGAGCAGCATCCCCTGACACAGCTGCTCAGTGCAACCCTTCAGCTGCCGGAGCAGCCGCTTCAAAGCCGAGCCGTGGCTGTGGCTCTTCCAAAAATAACAAGCAGCATTCGTTGGATTTTTCTTTTCATTTGAATTTCTCTTCAAACCCACTTTGAGAAAAGGTGCCCACTTGGCTCTCCACCTTAAAGAAAAATCAGGCCATGCCTGCAGCTCTCTGTGTGTCTCCCCGGCACCCAGCACTGAGCACCCAGACCAGGCCAGGCTCCTTCCAGGGCCCACTGATGAAAGGAGCGGACACAGCATAAGAATGGGAGACCCCAGCCCTCGTGGGCCGCTAGGCTGACACCAGGGAAAAGGAGAGAGGGCCCCAGGAAACCGGTGGTCTGGGTCAGCACTCTGAGGCCCCAGGGCCTGCGTCCTTCCTTGTGTGGCCGGGGCTGCGGGCAGAGCCACAGCCACAGAGGGGCCTTCAGACACCAGGGGCTCTCTGCCACCCCAGTGTGGTTCTTGAGGTGGCCTCAGTAAAGCACCTGGGAAACTCTCCTGCCCAAACTTCCTCCCGCCTGACTGAGCCATGTGCCATGTGCCGTGTGTGTGTGTGTGTGTGTGTGTGTGTGTGTGTGTGTGTATACGTGTGTCCGGGTGAGATCACTTGAAGCGCCGTGGGTTAGGTGTTAGACAGCTAGCCACAAAGTCGGCAGTTCAATCCCACCAGCCACCCCAAAGGAGAAAGATGAGGTTATCTGCTCCCATGAAGATTCACCGTCTCAGAAACCCTGGGCACAGGGTTCTTATGAGTCAGAATCCACTCGATGACCGTGGGTCTGGCTTGGTTGTTGTTTTCGGTTTAAAGCAAGACCTGGAGTCTGTGACATAGAAGTCAGGGGTCCCAGATCCGGCTGGATTCTCGGGCAGCCAGGACATGCCAGGTGAGCGGACCGCCGCAGCCCTCTCTGCTCCGTCTTCCTCTGAGTCAAGAGAGGCTCCTCTGAAGAAAGGCCTGGCAGTCTACGCCTCACCGACCACGGCCACGGAAAGCTGCCTCGGCCGGTTCTACTCTGTCACACACGTCCATGGGGTCACCCGAGTCGGCATCGACTCCACGGCAGCAGCTTCGCCTGTTTTCCTCCCTGGAGATTAAACACCTAAACCAAGCCCATTGCCCTCAAATCAGCGCTGACGCGACAGGACAGGGTCGACCTGCGGAACCCATCTGCCCCAGGTCACCCGAGGGTGCTGGAGCTTCCTTTTAGTATCTGCGTGGGTCCACCCCTGGCACCCCAAGACCGACCAGCATCCCGGCATGCCCTTTCCCTGCCCTGGGCAGCCTCTTGGCCCTGGAAAATCTAATCTTGCCCATGAAGTACTGGTGACTCTGACACGCAGTCCTCTGGCACGCAGCTCCATGAGGGTCACCACTCGAACCCACCTGTGTCACTGGGACCCAGGTGAAGAGATGGGCACAACTAGTGCCCAAGAAGCGCCCCGCCTGCCCCCACCCCCACCCACCCCCCTTCTCCGGGCACTCCCCTCCAGGCAAAACCACTCTCTGAGTTTTGTTTTACTTTTCATCCCAACTTCCTTCACTGTAACAGGCCGACCTTGCTCCCGAGAGCAGAGGACCATATCTGATTAGGCTTTAAATTCAGAGAAGGGGCTCTTTTGGATCGCAGGTGACCAGGGCCAGACTTCCTAGCGAAACCTTGCTCTGGGCCCCACTGGCTCTCGAACTTGAGTTTCCTCCTTGCTCGCTAACCCGCTGGAAACCCTGCTCCTAGACAAAATTCCTTCCTGGTTGGCCATCCCCAGCCTACGTTTTCCCAGAAGCGCTGGGCTTTCTGAAACGGGCCCCTTCCGCCTGAGCCTCCTGTGCTGCAGTAGCCCACGCACTCGGAACGTCAGCAGGCCCCAATCCGAGGGACCGCTCGTAGACAGTGGCTAGCACTTGGACAGGCTCTGCCATGGGAGGGAGCCAGATGTGTGGGAGTAGGTGGGACCGCCAGTGAGGACCAGTGTTGGACTGGGCTGGAGATGAACCAAAAACATGCCTGGCCCCAGAGGGGTGGGGGGCAAGGAAGGAGGGTGTGGAGGGCCGGAGGGGACAGGACAAGCCTGGTATGGGCCAACACCAGCTGTTATCTTGCTGGTTCCGACTCACAGCCACCCCCATGTGGGTCAGAGGAGAACTACTCTCTGCAGGGTTTTCAACAGATGGATTTTGGGGAAGGAGAGGATCAGGAGGCCTTTCTTCCAAGGTGCTTCTGGGGGGAATCACATTTCCAAACTTTGAGTTTGCAGCCGGGCTGTTAACCATGTGACCCATCCAGGGACTCCAGTCTGGTAAGGAGTGTGGGTTGAGTCCCAAGTGCCATGGGGACCTGGCCTGCTGTCTCTCTGATGACAGAGTCAGGGGACACAAGGGTGCCTGTGTCCAACACCCCTCCACCTCAGGGCCAGGCCACGAGGCTGCTGCCCAGGACAGGAGCACAGCTTCCATTCTTCCTGTGAACTCCAGCAGAAATATTTCTGAGGATGAACTGCCAGGAGCCCTGGTGGCATAGTGGTTATGCTTTGGGCTGCTAAGCACAAGGTCATCAGTTCAAACCCACCAGCAGCCCCATGAGAAAAAGATGAGGCGTTCTACTTCTGGATAGAATTACAGCCTTGGAAACCCATAAGGGAAGTCCTACACTGTCCTATAGGGGGCTCTGAGTCAGGATCCACTGGCTGGCAGTGAGTTTGAGGTTTGGGAGTATGAGTGGCATCCTAATGCACCATCATGTGGGGGCTGCAGGGCAAGGGAGGGTAGGTCTCCCCAAGCCGCTGCGCGAGCCACCACCAACCACGCACTCACACAACATCACACGTCCTCAGTCAGGAGGAGTCTAAACATCTCCCTTCTGGAAAGAGGGGCCTCGACCACACTGCCACTGTCGCTACTGCCCGAGACCCTCCCGAGGGTGGTCCTGAGTGCAGCCGTCACACCCCACGCTGACACATCCTTCCCCTGTTCCCTTCTCTCCAAGGTCTCCATCACGCTCCCCAGGCCCATGGTGGCCTCGCTGCCCATGATGCCCTCCCAGGTGTATGACGTCCCCACCCAGCGCCGGGCGCACCCCGCCAGCACAGTAAGTCTCCCTCCGGGCTGGGACCCTCCAGGCATGCTGCTGTACCTTTCCGCTCTAAACCCTACAGCACCCCAGCCCTTCAGGCCAGCTTCCGACCAGAGAGCGCACTGTTGGATTCCTGAGCGCTAAAATGTTCTTCTCGTTTGTAATCCATACTATATGCATATATGGCATATAGCTGTAGATGTGTACATATCTATATGGTATATAGATATGTGTGTGTGGTATATATGCGTGCATATCTATGTGGTATACGTGTCTGTGTGTATAGGGTGTATAGAAGGAGTCCTAATGGTGATTTCTCCTTGGGCTGCTGGTTGCAAAGTCAGCAGTTCAGAACCACCAGCTGCTCCCCAGGAGAAAGACGGGGTTTTCTATTCCTGTAAAGAGTTACAGTCTCAGAAACACACAGGGGAAGTTGGTTCCATCCTGGCCTACAGGGTCGCTATGAGTCAGAACCGAGTCAAGGGCAGTGGGCTTGGCTTGGGTTGGGATGGTGCTGGTGGTACTGACCACAAGGTAAGCACCAGATGCCCCACAAGAGAACGATGAGGCTGTCTGCCCCATAAAGATGTATAGGGTAATGGTATATAGGGTCGCTACGAGTCTGAATCAACTCAAACTCAGGGACAGTGGGTTGGGTTGGGTTTTTTGGATCGTATATTTAGGAGTCCCGGGGGCCTATGTGGGATGGTATATATAAGAGACCGGCTTAGCTGTTAACCAAAAGTGAGCCGTTCGGACCCCCAGCCGCTCCCCGGGAGAGAGGTGACATTCTGCTTCATCCAGCTGATAGCCTGCGAACAGACTTGGTGACAGCGGGTTTTACTCTGGGTTTTCAGAAGCAGATCAACGGGTCTTTCTTCCGGGCTGCCCCTGGGTGGACTGGAACCTCCAACCTTTTGGTGAACGGCTAAGGGGGTTCACTGTTGCTCCCCGCCCCTCAGGGACTCAGACCACCACAGCCGCCTCTCTCTCTCTCTGGCTTGTCCTCTGTTGTCAGTGGAAAAGGTGCCTTCAAAGCACTCAGGCCATGGCCTGGCCCAGGGCCATGGTGCCATGTGGGTTGCCACCCAGAGCTGAAGGACTGAGTGTGGCCTGGCTGGGAGGGGATGCTGGACCGGGTGCTTTTGTGACCTGGGGCCACCAGGAAGGAAGAATCTAAGTAGGTCTCCTCTGTGTCTCTTCCCAGGAGCCCGAGAAGCCGCAGTTATATGACATTCCCACCAGCCCCCAGAAGGCAATACTGGCACCACGAGGCAGCCAAGCCAGCGTAAGTACGGATGGAATCGGCGCTGAGGCCCAGGGCCGGGAAAACCTCCAGAGCCCCAGGCAGCTGGATTGGCTCGGTCACAAATAGGAAGCCTGCCTTGTCTCCTGTGAGGCCAAACCCAAGGGCAGCAAGTTGACCCTGACCCCAGGGGACTGCGCTGTGCCAGAGGAGAGCCGGGCAACATGGGGCTTTCAGAGGCTCAGTGGGTTGGGTTTGGGTTGAGATGGTGCTGGTACTACTTACTACAAGGTAAGCACGAGACACCCCTCAAGAGAATGACGAGGCTGTCTGCCCCATAAAGATGTATAGGGTAACACTATATAGGGTCGCCATGAGTCTGAATCAACTCAAACTCAGTGACAGTGGGTCCAAAGAAGATCAGCAGGCCTTTCTGTGGAGGCACCCCTCGGGGCGTCCTGGGAGCACCTTCCAGTTACCTGCCAAGTTAACCACTTGCTCCAGCTGGGGACTCCTTCATTTGAGGCAAATCCCCTTCCCTGCAGTGGCATTCCGGAATAGAAATAGCTGGGTGAGTCTGAATGAGGCGCTTAACTTCTTAACGCCTGAGTCTCTATTACAGGCTTCTTGGAAGAAGGCCTGTGGGTGTCGTGGTTACTCATCGGGCTGCTAACCACAAGGTCACCAGTTCAAAACCACCAGCTGCTCCGTGGGAGAAAGATGAGGCTTTCTGCTCACATAAAGAATGACAGTTTTGGAAACTCGCAGGGGCAGTTTTACCCTGCCCTATAGGGCCACTGAGTCGGCATCAACTCAGTGGCAGGGAGTTTGGTCTTTTGGTTGGGTGGAGGGTAAGGTAAACAGCCGAGTGGCTGGATCTACTAGGAGGAGGATGGTAGACTTAGCTGGGGGGAGGCGAAATGGAGCTAGAGAGATGAGAGGCTCAGAGGAAGGTGGGGCTGGATGGTGGGGCGCCTGGGACTATCACATCAATGGGGAGCCACTGACGAAGCCTGAGCAGGGTAGTGACAACCAGAGTGTTGAGAAGCAGGGTGCCGGGCACTCAGCACAATACGTGTCTGCTGCAGGGGTCACTCCAATTCTGTGTAGCAGCACTAAGCGGGGCGTCTTTGTGTGGTTTCTCCCCAGAAACAGGGCGTGCCCCGGGCATCGCAGGCCATGCAGAGAGGTGACTACAGCACACTCCCGAGCCCTCTGAAGCCAGCGCACACTTTCGACCACTTGGAGTCACCGGAAAAAGGCAGTGTTACGAGCTCACCCCTAAGCAGCGTGGTGGAAGAAGCGAGGCCCCGTCCTGCCCCCAGGTTCATCCTCGCTTACGGGTCCCTGGATAGCAGGTCCCAGAGTCAACAACGGTACAGAGATTTATCCAGGCAGAAAAAACTCAGTCTCCCCGAAATCCCTTCTTCTGATCTCCCAGTGCCCAGGGATGAAGGGGTCAGCTACAAGGTACCCTCAAGCTTCCTGATCCCCCGAGTAGAGCAACAGAACACCAAGCCAAACATTTATGACATCCCTAAGGCGATGGCCAGTGCCCCTCAGGGGGCAGCAGAGCTGGACAAAGCAGCCGGGGTCGCAGAGATGTGTGTGGACCACAGCTGCCCCAGGCTCTCCGCCCAGGTGACTGCCTCTCCCGAGCCAGACAGCTTGTGGGCCTCGGGGTCGGGCAGCAGCAGGGCCAGCCTGTGCTCCTCCACGTCCACCGAGTCCTCCTCCAGTTCGTCCTCCGAGGAGTTGCCCAAGGAGCTGCCTGTGGACCCACACACGGCCAAGGAGATGGTGACCGCCCTGCAGCACAAGGTGGCCCTCGCCGTGGAGGGCCTGCTGCTCTTCGTCAGCAGGAAGTGGCGATTCCGACAGTTCCTGGAGGCCAGCCTGGACGCCGTGCACCGGGCTGTGGACCACACAGAGGAATCGCTGAGGGAATTTCTGGATTTCGCCCGGGGAGTCCGGGAGACAGCCAGTAACCTCAGCGACTGTAGCCTGCAGGTACGAATGAAAGATCAGCTCCACACCATCTCCTGCTCCTACCAGGTCCTGCTGGAGACCAAGCAGAACCTGGACCGCTGCCACTGGTCCCTGGAGGCCCTTGTGACAGACAAGGTCCAGAACAGCCCCGATGACCTGGAGAGGTTTGTCATGGCGGCACGGATGGTTCCAGAAGACACCAAGAGGTTTGCCTCCATGGTCATTGCCAATGGAAGGCTCCTTTTTAAGCAGAGCTCTGAAAAGGAGGAGCCGCAGCCGTGGACCGTAAACTCTGAACATCAGCTTGAAAAATGCACCCAGTCCCCCCAGAGAGAAACGGAGCCCCTCCAGACGTGTGCGCCTTCTGATCAGCAGAAGGAGAACGACCCCTCCCACGAAGGAGGCATGGAACTCGGGACCAGTACCTGTGGACAGGTGAGTTCCAAGTGATGCCTTGAGCCGAGGGGTGGGGGTGCAGGGGGGTGTTCCTGGAGGACCGTTGGAGTGGCTGCCAGGAAGCTAGATGCTGAGAATGTTTCTAGGTGGGCATCTGGGGAGACCTTAGACCCAGAGTCCTGAAAGTGAAGTTCACCAGAGTGGAATTCTAAATATAGCCTAGTAGCAGGTAAGCCAAGTAACTGGATAATATGGGAGATTCAAAAGCAACAACAAAAGCGGCGACCTTGTGCGTGTCCCAGGAGAACCATGGCCCGTGGGGCTGTCGATGAGCTATCTTCTGCTTGGGGAAGTAGATCGCCGGGCCCTTTTTTCCAGGATGCCTCTGGGTGAACTTCAGCCTGGGCCCTTCCGGTTAGCAGCAGAGTGGGTGAACCATGTCTACACCACCCAGGGACTCCTGACGCCGTATTTGGATAGCTTCTGGCCATGCTTGGTGTTCAGGCTTGCCTCTGACACTGGGATTGGTTATGGTTTTTTAAATATGTTCGTTTTGAAAGGTCAGGTATCTTCTTGCCATCTGGGTCAGAGCTGACTCATGGCGACCCTCTAGAACAGGGTAGAACTGCCCCAGTGAGTTCCCGAGACTGTAACTCTTTCCGGGAGCAGCAAGCCCCATCCCTCTCCCTCAGAGCTGCTGGTGGTTTCAAACTGCTGGCCTTGTAGTTAGCAGCCCCACTCATAACCTCTACACCACCAGGGCTACCTCTAGCACAATCCAGGAGGGCTGCAAAAGCAGATACCTACACGTTAGCCTGGATTATGGGCTGTGGTACAGTAGTTTTTAATTGCCTGGGGGTGGAGCAGGGTAGTGGCGGTGACAATTTATCCCCCCTGAAGAGTAGGTGATGTACCAAATATGTTTGGGAACCTGTGCTAAATCTTTATGGGAGCACACAGTCTCCTATTTCTCCCCAGTAGCAGCTGAGGGCTTGGAACTGCTGACTTTGTAGTTCGTAGGCCAATGAATAACCCACTATGCCTATAGAACTCGCTGTCATGGAGTCAATGCTGACTCAGAGCAACCCCTTGTGGGTTTCTGAGACTCACTGTTGATGGAAGGAGAAAGCCCAGTCTTTCTCCCGTGGAGTCGCTGGTGGTTTCAAACCGCCGACCATGAGCTTCGCAACCCAAAGTGCAACCGCTATGCCACTAAGACATTTTAAAACCCAGATGGATGGATGGCCCCACTCCCTGAATTTGTGATTCCAGAGGCTGGCTTTTTTATTTCTGACAAGTCTTTGGGCAGCGGTGATGTTGATGCCGCAGGTCTGGGGACCACACTTTGAGAAGCACTGCTCTAGATGGGCCATTCGGCAGGCACTTTTCCACTGTGTGGGCTGGACCAGCCAGCACCACCCACTGGCTGCACTGCAAACACAAGAGGCTCCTGGAAGACATCAGCTCCATGGTCCCCCAAACGGCAATTCACCAACACAAACACCTAGACGGCATCTTAGGAAGGCCCTTAGGTCAGCATATTTGGATGTCTTCTAGAAACGATTGGAATCCAGGCAGATTTGTCTCTGATCCCAAAATTAGAAATGATTTTTAAAATATGTATAAATCTAAGGGGGCTCCAAAAAGTGCGTGGGAAGATGCCATTATGTTTTCATTCCTGTGGCCCACAAGCTTTGGAAGCGCCCTCCCATGTTCTTCGAGTGCATGGTCAGCTGTCACCATCAAGAATCCTTGCATTTTCCAAAGTTCTAAGTGGAGTCATCGTCCAGGTGTTTTTGTTTTGTTTTGGGGACTGGGTTTTGGATGTTTTCTGAGGAGAACTGAATATGAAAACTTCATGGAATTTCTCCAGGAGACACTAAGTGCATACTCACTCACTCACTCACTGCCGTGAGTCAAATCCAACTGCCCTGCTGTGGGTTTCTGAGACTGACTCTTTAAGGGAGTAGAAAGCCTCCTCTTTCTCCCAAGGAGCGGCTGGTGGTTTCAAACTGTTGACCTGACAGCTATGAGCCCAGTGTGTAACCCACTCCTTCCCCAGGGCTCCCACGTTAGTGTATACGTGTGCACATATACCCATACACCAGTTTCCAACGAGTCAATTCACAAGGACCCTCTTTGTTTCCGAGCAGAATTTCACGGGGTTTTTAATGGATGCAGTCTTTGGCAAAGGGGCCCTTGGTGGCACAGTGGTTAAGTGCTCGGCCGCTAACTAAAAAATCAATGGTTTAAACCGCCAACTACTCCATGGGAAAGAGATGTGGCACTCTGGTGGCGGGAAAGATTTGCAGCCTTGGAAACCCTGTCCGGGGTCATTTCTACTTTCCCCTATCAGGGTGCTATGAGTCAGGATCCACAGAGAGCAGTGTGTTAGGGGTGGGGGTTAATCTTTTGTAAGTAGATTGCCAGGCCTTTCTTCCAAGGCACTTTGGGTAGGTTTGACGTATACTGGGATACACTTAATATGGCCACAAGGATTATCTCAAACCCTTCGCTCCCTGGCTGGTTCCGACTCATGGCAGCCCCCTGTGTTTCCGAGTAGAACTGGGCACCACCAGGTTTTTCTAAGTAGGGTGTCTGAATTAGAACGGGCTTGATGGCAACTAACAGCCACCAACAACTAATGGCAGTAGATAGTAGATGGTCGGGAAGTATGTTTCTTCCATCCAATTGCCCTTTGACAGCTTTTAAGTGTTATGCAAATGCTGCAACATTGGACTTCCTAAACAAAATGGTGCGTCGTCTTCTCCTCTACTGAGCACAAACAGGAAGAGGAGCAACCGCAGCCTGCTGATGAAATCTCTTATCTCTGTTTCTCCCCGGCTCCAGGTGCCCGGCCCTGGGGTCACCCTGCCGCTCCACCTTTCCCAACACTGCCGCCTCTATTTCGGGGCTCTCTTCAAAGCCCTCGGCGTGCTGGCGGGCAGCCTCAGCCACGGCCAGCCGCCGGAGACCTTCATCACGCACAGCAAGCTGGTCATCGTGGTCGGGCAGAAGCTGGTGGACGCGCTGTGCAAGGAGACGCAGGAGCGGGACGCGCGCAACGAGGTCCTGCGCGGCAGCAGCCACCTCTGCAGCCTGCTCAGGAACGTGGCGCTGGCCACCAAGGACGCCGCGCTCCGCCACCCGAGCCCCGCCGCCCTGCAGCACCTGCAGGCCCAGGCCCAGAAGCTGGAGCAGCACGCGCGTCACTTCCGCGGGGTGCTGGAGTGAGGACTTCCGGCGCCCCCTTCCTTCCCCTGTCACCTCTCAGCCTCAGCTTCGCGCGCCCAGCCCCCGTGCTGCTCGGCCCGGTGGGTCACGCCAACGGGCTGCCCCCCAAAGCCGGGATCACCACGCTGCTAAGCAGCCTCAGCGCAGCCCTGGTGGCGCAGTGGTTAAGTGCTCAGCCGCTCACCAGGAGGTCAGCAGTTCGAACCCACCAGCCTCCCCGAGTCGGGGAAGCTTCTGGCCGTCGGCTTCGATCACGGTGGCAGCCTGGGGAACCCGGTGGGACAGCTCTCTGTCCCACTGGGTCACTGGGCGTGGGAGCCCGGTGTAAGCAACCCCATGGACATTGGCCAAGCCCACCCCGCAGAGAGGACTGGGTCGGAAAGAAGGCCCCTCGGCGTGTGAAAGATGCTCCCGAAATGTCCATTGACATCCATGCGTGCTACACCTGTTCAGTCCCTTCGCTCCCTTAGCTCTGGCCGCCTCCTCCGCGGGGACTTCTGGGTGCTGCCGACTGAAGAGTCAGGCACGGGGCACGGGGCCTGCCCACGTGGGATTTACAGTCCGGTGGTGCGGGACTGCACCAACCATCGAGAAAATGGACTCGCTTTCCCATGGCTCATTTCTCTTGCCTTCATGAGAAAATGTGATGTAGAATTAGCTCTGTGACTTGGTGCACATTGTGTACACTTCCTCCTCATTTATTGACCACCTCATTATCCAACCTATCACGTCTAGGAAAATCCCAAACCAAACCCACTGCAGGCAAGTTGATTGTGACCCAAAGGGATGCTGATGGTTACAGTGCACAACTCCTAACCCATAGGTCAGCGGTTTGAACCCACAAGCCACTCAGTGGCAGGAAGAGGTGGCTGCCTTCTCCCGTAACAGATTTATATCCTTAGAAACCCTGAGAGGCATTTCTAGTCTCCCCTGTGGGCTCAACGGTTCCTTTACCTCAACAGTGAGAAAAAAGAAATCGGACTGTTTTGTGCAATAACAAATACCCAGATGAAAGGTGAGCTTATGCTGACTGTCATGGTCAAGGCTCACGTGACCACATGTCACCTTGGCTAAGCCAAGGGACCTCAGTGGTTTGGACAGAATTTGCTGTTTTGTAATGATGTCATCATCCTCCCATTGTGTGATGGGATGTCTTCCTCCTCCATTTTTGTATAATGCTGATTTTAGCGTAAGCACCTGGTCTTTGGAAACTACGCCTGACAATAAGTAGTGTCTTTGTGTCTTGCACCAAAAACAAGAAAAGAAAGAAAGATGTGTTTAATAGACTATATATACACATGTGGAAACCAGACCAGTTGACTCCCTGCCATCGAGTCAATTCTGACTCATAGCGACCTAGAGTGACTGTCTACATGCATATATGTGCATATGCATATGTTTATGTATATGTATATATATAGGCAATGAAACGTGTGAGAGGCACACACTGATGGGACTACCTTGTCTTGTTGAGTCACAAATGTTCTGTCTGCCTTGACCAAATGTGGTCTTAACACATTTCTCTTGCTCGTTTTAGTGGAAAATATTTGTGTTTTCCTTCTAAGACAGGTTTCTGCCTCCACAGGTTCTGGTGTTTTTCCTCACACATTTCTCTATCTATCTTCACATATATATACCATTTGATTTTAACCTCTTTAAAGATGCAATATCTACAAGTTTGCATGTTCTGTTGGGTTCCCTGTTAATTTATTTTTGTACATTATAGATCTATGTTAATAAATTCAGTATGTTCACTCAGGAAAAGGATTATACCTCAACCTCGAGTCTCCTGGGACAGTTATAATGTTATTTAAATACACTTGTGGATTTCGACATCATTTGTAGCACACCTTTCCTCGGGGAAGACTTTGGCCCATGTCACTCACACTGACACTAGCATCTAGCCTCTGATGTTGAACTGCGGCACCCACATGCTTCTCCCTGAGCCCGCCCAGAAAGGGGCAGAGGACGTGGCCACCTGTGAAAGCTAGCGCAGGGAGAGCCTCCTCCCCCCTCCCCCCAACTTCCAGAGCACTGCAGCCAGGAAGGTGTGGTGTGGGCAGGACATCTGTCTGTGGATACAGATCTCCCCTCAAACCGCCTCCTCTTCCTACTCTGACAACAGTACTGTTGCTATGGCGACACCATCCCTGTGCTTCAAGAGAAGGCCCAGGTCTCTGTACTCATCACAGCTGCCCAAAAGCTTTTACCACCGGCAGGCCACGTTACTAGGTTGGGAGCCACCTTAGATGAGACGGAGCACAGCTCCTATCTGCTACACTGTGCCGGAAACTGTCCCCAGTACCGGTAAACCCATGTGAGTCAGGGTAGACATTGGGCTCCGTGGGGTTTCCAATGGCTGATTTTGGGGGAAGTCGATTAGCAGGCCTTCCTTCCAAGGTGCCTCTAGGTGGCCTTGAGTACCTGTCCTTTAGTGAATGAAAATCATCAAGTAGGTGGATTAAACCTTTGTACTACCCAGGGGTTCCTGCATTTGGTCCCTGAAACCCAACCGGTTGCCAGTAAGTGGATTCCAATTTATAGCAAGCCTGTAGGACAGAGCAGGGCTGCCCCACAGGCTTCCCAGGCTGATCCTCACAGAAGCCGACTGCCTTGGCTTCCTCCCACAGGGGCCCTGGTTGTTTGTATGGTGCTGATCTCAGGGCCCCTAACAAGGAACCCCATCACAGTGAGACATGCTTCTCTTTGACTGGACAGAAAGATCCTAAAAGACCCCATCACTGAATGGCTGTGGGCTGCACCAGTCAGGACCCCTTCTCTTACGAGGGATCAAAAGCCAGACCCAGTCTAACTTAAGCATCACAGAAAATGTCTTCACTCAGGTATCTGCAAGCAACCCGGTCATAGACTGGCTTCCAGCCTGCTGGGCTCAGGACATCCAAGTGTGTCACAGAGCCCATTTCTCACCCGCACTTTCTTTAGGCTGGTTTTCATCGTGACCAGGCACTGCCCCGAGTGGTGTCCTTCCTGGCTGTGTCCAGAGGAGAAGAATGAGCAAGAGACCTCTCTGCAGGTGCCTAAATACGCCCTCCACCAAAAACCCTCACAAATGTGATGTGAGGGGAATAGTACATTTGGAATTCATTCCACCAGGTTAGACTGTTAATCAAGCTTTCTGTTTAGAGGTTCTGAAAAGATTGCATAACAGTTTGTGACCCAAAAAAGGCTTGATTTGTGGCAGTCAGGGGACTGGTTTTATCACCACGACAATGTACCTGCTCACACAGCCATCTCAGTGCACCAGGTTTTTGGCAAAAAACAGCATGCCTCTCTTGCCCCACGCACCTGACTCACCTGACCTCGCTCCATGTGACTTCTTCTTGTTTCCCCCAATGAACAGGGACACGAAAGGGCAATGATTTGATGACATAGAAGAGGTAAAGAAAAAAGAAAAAAAACGAGGAAGGTGCTGTCAGCCATCCAAACAGATGAGTTTGAAAAATGTTTCCAAGAATTTGACAAATGTATGAAGTGTCATGGAGAATACTTTGAAGGTGATAAGGTTGTTTTGTTAAACATGATAATAATAATAAAATAAATACATAGCTTTGAAAGCATTCCATTTATTTGGGGGGTACTCTCTCATATTCCATGATGGACAGCGACATGCATGCACAGGCTGGCCTAGAGTTGAAGTCTACATGCACAGATACACACACACACACACACACACACACACTCCCCCATGTGTCCTCAGAGAGGCAAAGGGATGGCTTTGTCAGGAACAGTGACGGGTCCAAGATTTTGCAGGACTTCAAGCTGACAGGTGAGTTGAAGGCGGTTTCATGGCTGCTGGGAGAAGACATTCAATTCTGGGGTCAGAGACCACAGACCCGTCTTCCTCACAGTGCAGCAGACAGCTAAAGCATTATCTTCACATCAGTGTCCCTTGTCCTGCGGGTCCCAGGCAGCTCTGCCGAGGTGGGCTATACTTGTGTCAAAGCCAAGGGACCTAGCATCGGAAGCCCAATCTTTTATAAGGGCTAACCTAAAACGAACCCTGATGGTGCACTGGGTTATGTGTTGGGCTGCTAACTGCAAGATTGGTAGTTCAAAGCCACCAGAGGTCCTGCAGGAGAAAGGTGAGGCTGTGTGCTCCCATAAAGATCCATAGCCCTGGGAGCCCCAGGGGCAGTTCAACTCTGTCTTATTGGGATTGCTATGCATCAGAATTGGCTTGATGGCAGCGGGTTTGGCTTTTTGTTTTTTGGGTTAGGAGCAAACCTGGCCAACCTTTGTCCCAGAAGAAGACATTCTCTTCCATGGGTTGGACTGCCAACACCTCCACCCTTCTGCTTGGGGAAGCAGCAGGGGCCTCTGTCTCCATCTCCCAAGGCTGTTCACCGTAAACGTCCTTGAAAGGACAGTCCAGAGCAAAGTGCTGCTCAGACACCCACAGAGAGCAGCCTGCAGATAGTCTGTCTAGCAAAAGTCCGGAATGTGTTCGAAAGAAGGGGAATCCGCTGCAGGGGCAGACAAGACAATTTACCCCTCTGGCATGATTATTGTTCACATGATAATGAGAAACCTCTGCCACCGAGCCAATTCCGACCAGCAGTGACTCGATAGAGGATTTCTGAGGCTTTATAAAGCCGTAAGGAAGCAGATAGCTCCATCGTTCTCTCACCGAGGGATTACTGTTCTACTGTTTTAGATGTTCCAACTCAGTCCTCCATAAGAAACCTACCTCTCCTAGGGAATGAAGAGGCCTTATTGGATTTTGACTTATACATGCTCATGTATGTGTATGTGTATATACATATATGTGTGCTGCTGTTGTTGATAGGTGCCAGCGCATCGGTTCCAACCCATAGTGACCCTATGCACAACAGAAGGAAACACTGCCCCGTCCTCCGCCGGCCTCACAAGGATTCCTCTGCTTGAGGCCATTGTTGCAGGTACTGTGTCAGTCCAGCTTGTTGAGGGACTGCCTCTCTTTCACTGTCCCTCTACTTCATCAAACATCGTGTCCTTTTCCAGGGACTGGTCACTCCTGACAACATGTCCAAAGTACGTGAGACCCAGTCTCACCATCCTTGCCTCCAAGGAGCACTCTGGCCTTATTTTTTCCAATACAAATGGCTTTGTCCTTTTAGCAGTAATTTCTAGACTCTTCTCCAGCACAAATTTCAATGCATGGATGCTCCTGTGGTCTTCCTTGGTCAATGTCCATCTTCCATGTGCGTATGAGGTGATTGAAAAGACCATGGCTTGGGGCAGGTGCACCTTCGTCCTCAAAGTAACATCTTTGCTTTAAGGAGGTCTTGTGCAAGAGATTTACCCCATGCAATGCGATCTTTGATCTCTGCACTGCTGTTTCCATGAGCATTGATTGTGGATCCAAGCAAGAGGAAATCCTTGACCACTTTGATCTTCCCTCCATTTATCATGACATTGTCTATTGGTCTAATTGTGAGGATTTGGGTCTTCTTTATATTGTAATCCATACGGAAGGCTATATTCTTTGATCTTCCTCAGCAAGTGCCTCAAGCCTCCTCATTTTCAGCAAGCAAAGTTGTGTCATCTGCATATCGAAGGTTGTATATATACGTGTGAATATATATATACTCCATTATCTTTTCATTCCATTTTCCCACTAACTTTAAGTACAAAACCATTAGGTCTAAAATAATGAAAAATGCTGCTCTTAGCTAAACATATTTCCTTCCTCTTTTTTGAAAAAAGGGATGACGGAAGGAGTGTCCGCTGATAAATTGAGTAAGATAATTCCTTCTGAGGCTGTTTAAAAATAAAATCAAATAGCTTTCTTTCTTTTCTTTGTTATCATTTTGTTTTGTGCTTTAGGCAACCGTGTACTAAGCGTTTTTTGTGTAAAGCCTGGAGTTCTGTACCACTTCCTCCCAGGAAAGGAGAGGAAATGGTGGGTGGCCGGGAGGTAGGGGGATGGCTGCAACTTGACCTCAATTAAGCTGAACTTCATCAGGCGGATGGAAGTGGTGAGGAGCCTTGGTGAGAGAACTTCCTGTGTGACAAACCCAGGGTGGGGGATCTTGTTTGTTTGGTGGTTACTATTTTTTAACACCCCTGCCAAAATTTTTTTTCAATAAATAAAAAATATTTAATTTTTGTGTGTCATTGTTTCCTTAAGGTGTATGCTCCATCTCCGAGCCCCTTTGTATCTGCACTTAGCACCAGGTGAACCCGAGCCATCCCTTCTGCCCCTTCACTGATTGATTGGTCAGGCCGAGGCTGGTCCCTAGAGGTGCTGAGGGGACAGTACAAGGCTCTGACAACCTGCTGCTTTCATTCCAGGGGGGAGAGGAGTCAGGGCCGAGACTG